CTTTAGATGGTGATTCTGTTGTCCCAGAACCCTGAGCAGGTGATCCAGATGTTGCAAATTCCCCAGGTGCCACAACAGTGGTTCCTGACATTCCACCTGTTGGGCCAGTGGTTCCTGTCCCTCCCTCAGATGGCCTGCTTGTTGCAGGTCCTTCAGATGATGATTCAGGTGTTTGAGACCCTTTAGCAGATGTTTCAGTTGTTCCAGATCCTGATGTTCCAGTTGTCCCTGATTCTCCAGGTGTTACAACAGTGGATCCTGGCATTTCAGCTGTTGGACCAGTTGTTCCTTTCTCTTCTGCTAGGGTTCTGGTTGTCCCAGTTCCTTCAGATGGTGATTCAGTTGTCCCTGTCCCTCCAGCAGATGACCTGGTTGTCCCTGTTCTTTCAGATGATGATTCAGTTGTTCCTGAACCTCTGAACGATGTTCCAGTTGTCCCTGATCCTTCAGATGTTTCACCAGTAGTTCCTGACATGTGACCCATTGAGACCGTTGTTCCTTTCCCTTCTGCTGGGGTTCTGGTTGTCCCAGTTCCTTTAGATGGTGATTCAGTTGTTCTAGAACCTTTAACAGGTGACCCAGTTGTTCCAGATTCTGATGTTCCAGTTGTCCCTGATCTTCCAGTTGTTACACCAGTGGATCCTGGCATTTCAGCTGTTGGACCAGTTGTTTCTTTTTCTTCTGCTGGGGTTCTGGTTGTCCCAGTTCCTTCAGATGGTGATTCAGTTGTTCTAGAACCTTTAGAAGATGATTCAGTTGTTCCAGATGCTGATCTTCCAGTTGTTCCTAATCCCTCAGGTGTTACACCAGTGATTTCTGACATTCCACCAGTTGTCTCTGACTCTACAGCTGATGGTCTTGTTGTCCCTACTGTTTCAGATATTAGTTGAGTTGTTTCTGAACCTGTAGCAGATGTTACAGTTGTTCCTGTTTCTCCAGTTGATACTTCTGTGGTCCCTGATCCTCCAGCTTCTGATCCAGTTGTTTGTAATCCTCCAGTTGGTGTTTTGGCGGATGAACCAGTTGTCCCTAGCATTCCAGTTGCTGCCTCTGTTGTCTTTAATCCTTTAGATGAAGGTCCTGTTGACTGTGAACCTACATCATGTGATCTAGTTGTTTCTGTTTTTCTAGTGTTGCCTGATTCTCCAGCTGATGTGATGGTTGTTCCTGTCACTCCAGATGATGGTACTATTGTGGTTCCTGATCCTTCAGCAGATTGTCCAGTTGTTCCTATGAAAACATTTAATAAAAATACATTGTTTTAAAGTTGTTCTGGTCCTTGGTTAACCTTAGGGCTTATGCTGCCTTCTTTCTAAACTATAGTTTTGTGCATCTTCATTCCTGTTGCCACCATCCTATTTTATTATACCTTTTGTTTTTCTACAGTGTACCTTCTTCCAAAATCTTTACTCATTTAACATTATTGAATATTTTATATGCCATGTATGTTCTCAGAAATTTATAAGTATTACCTCATTTTAGCGTCAGAACAATCCTATGATATGTATGGTATCACTTTCCATTTTTATAGAGAAAAAACTTAAAATAGTTTAAATCATTTCTCTAAGATTTACCTAGTTATTAGATAGTTCTCTAATCCCATAGATAAACCTAGTAGATGTGAGAGACATGTAGACATTAAAGTAAAATTACTATCCAACCAAACAAAGAAATTTACAAACAAAGAAAGCCTCAAAGCACTAAAATAAAGAGAGGAAATTCTGAGCAACTGGGATTTCATTTTAGACAGCCTGGTTAGCAAAGTCTCTCTGAAAAGATGCCATTTATTTTGAGATATGACAAGAAGCAGACAGTCATGGGAAATATCATAGGCAGTGGAAACAGCCGCTGCAAAGGCCATAAGGATAACTGAATTACATGTGCTAGAGAAACAGAACTAGATGGTGAATTTATAGGTATCAATCGGAGGTTAGTGGGAAATCATTAGAAGGTGAAGATATATTCATTGGATTGGGTAAGCTATTTGAAATGAGAGAAAAGTTGCACATTTTTCTAAATGCAATAGAGTATAGTTTTATGCAAGGGAGCTATACATTTATATATATTTAAAATCCTTCTTTCCACTCTGTAGAGAATATATGGTAAAGGGTGCATTATAGAAGTAGGAATACCAGTAAGAGGTGATTTCAGGCTTGGACTTTGTGCTCAGTGGTGTTTTTTTTTGTCAACCTATGAACCAGGAAGTCATGGTTCAATTTCCAGTCAGGGCACATGCCTGCGTTGCAGGCTTTATCCCCATTGGTGAGCATGCAGGAGGCAGCTAATAAATGATTATCTCTCATCATTGATGTCTCTCTCTCCCTCTCCTTTCATCTCTGAAATGGAAATATATTTTACAAAATAAAATAATAATAATAATAATAATAATAATAATAAATTTTAACAAGAAGTGA